CCACGCCTTGGTAGCTTCAGGGAGGTTAGAAAAATTCCTTTAAAAATCCAGGCCTTGGTAGCTTCAGGGAGGTTAGAAAAATTCCTTTAAAAATCCACGCCTTAGGAGCTACATGGAGGCTAGAAGAATTGCTTTAAAAATCCACGCCTTGGGAGCTACATAGAGGCTAGAAAAATTGCTTTAAAAATCCACGCCTTTTTGGCTTCAGGGAGGCTAGAAAAATTCCTTTAAAAATCCACGCTTTGGTAGCTTCAGGGAGGTTAGAAAACTTCCTTTAAAAATCCACGCCTTGGTAGCTTCAGGGAGGTTAGAAAACTTCCTTTAAAAATCCACGCCTTGGTAGCTTCAGGGAGGTTAGAAAACTTCCTTTAAAAATCCACGCCTTGGTAGCTTCAGGGAGGTTAGAAAACTTCCTTTAAAAATCCACGCCTTGGTAGCTTCAGGGAGGTTAGAAAATTTCCTTTAAAAATCCACGCCTTGGTAGCTTCAGGGAGGTTAGAAAATTTCCTTTAAAAATCCACGCCTTAGGAGCTACACGGAGGCTAGAAAAATTCTTTTAAAAATCCACGCCTTAGGAGCTACACGGAGGCTAGAAAAATTCTTTTAAAAATCCACGCCTTAGGAGCTACACGGAGGCTAGAAAAATTCTTTTAAAAATCCACGCCTTAGGAGCTACACGGAGGCTAGAAAAATTCTTTTAAAAATCCACGCCTTAGGAGCTACACGGAGGCTAGAAAAATTCTTTTAAAAATCCACGCCTTAGGAGCTACACGGAGGCTAGAAAAATTCTTTTAAAAATCCACGCCTTAGGAGCTACACGGAGGCTAGAAAAATTCTTTTAAAAATCCACGCCTTAGGAGCTACACGGAGGCTAGAAAAATTCTTTTAAAAATCCACGCCTTAGGAGCTACACGGAGGCTAGAAAAATTCTTTTAAAAATCCACGCCTTAGGAGCTACACGGAGGCTAGAAAAATTCTTTTAAAAATCCACGCCTTAGGAGCTACACGGAGGCTAGAAAAATTCTTTTAAAAATCCACGCCTTAGGAGCTACACGGAGGCTAGAAAAATTCTTTTAAAAATCCACGCCTTAGGAGCTACACGGAGGCTAGAAAAATTCTTTTAAAAATCCACGCCTTAGGAGCTACACGGAGGCTAGAAAAATTCTTTTAAAAATCCACACCTTAGGAGCTACAGGGAGGCTAGAAAATTTTCTTTTAAAAATCCACGCCTTGGTAGCTTCAGTTCGGCTAGAAAATTTTCTTTTAAAAATCCACGCCTTGGTAGCTTCAGTTCGGCTAGAAAATTTTCTTTTAAAAATCCACTCCTTGGTGGCTTCACAGAGGCTAAAAAAATTCCTTAAAAATTCACGCCTTGGTGGCTTCACAGAGGCTAGAAAAATTCCTTTAAAAATCCACGCCTTGGTGGCTTCACAGAGGCTAGAAAAATTCCTTTAAAATTCCACGCCTAGGTGGCTTCACAGAGGCTAGAAAAATTCCTTTAAAATTCCACGCCTAGGTGGCTTCACAGAGGCTAGAAAAATTCCTTTAAAAATCCACGCCTTGGTAGCTTCAGGGAGGCTAGAAAAATACCTTTAAAAATCCACGCCTTGATAGCTTCAGGGAGGCTAGAAAAATGCCTTTAAATATCCACGCCTTGGTAGCTTCAGGGAGGCTAGAAAAATGCCTTTAAATATCCACGCCTTGGTAGCTTCAGGGAGGCTTGAAAAATGCCTTTAAATATCCACGCCTTGGTAGCTTCAGGGAGGCTAGAAAAATGCCTTTAAAAATCCACGCCTTTGTAGCTTCAGGGAGGCTAGAAAATTTCCTTTAAAAATCCACGTCTTGGTAGCTTCAGGGAGGCTAGAAAATTTCCTTTAAAAATCCACGCCTTGGTAGCTTCAGGGAGGTTAGAAAAATTCCTTTAAAAATCCACGCCTTGGTAGCTTCAGGGAGGTTAGAAAAATTCTTTAAAAAATCCACGCCTTAGGAGCTACATGGAGGCTAGAAAAAATCCTTTAAAAATCCACGACTTGATAATTTCAGTATGTCCGACCTCGTAACCTTGAAATGGAGAGAATAATTCCGGTAAAAATCCACTCCTTCCGACCTTTCGAAGGACTTGGCAAATTCATTTTTATTTTGGTTATTTTTTTAATTGTTTTATTTATTTCTGAATATAACCTTTGTGTCATATTTAATTATCTCTTTTTTAATAAACCACATTACGAATGTAACCAAACAAATCAAATAAACCTTTACATATTTGCTAATGAAAATGATGCCTTTGGTCTTTGATATGTTATTTGCCGAACGCACACATTTAATTAGAAAATATCTAAAGAAGGCGCCAGAGAAGCCACACAAAAACAATAATAACAACAACAACAAAACGCAAACAACATCATCTGACAAAGACAATGGACATACTATTCGTTAAATTTGCGATACTGAATAAATATTTAAGCCCCTCCTTATGTGGGTTTTTGTTTAGCAACAACAAACATGATTATGCAGAGCACCCTCTTGTTTTGGATTTATTCAAGAGTCCAGAAATTCTTATACTCTAATATTTATGAAATAGTCATTTATTTTTGTTTTTTCTCTTCTTTTTTACCTTGTCGCCCCACCAACCAATAGGAATCCTAAGAAATTTTGTTGTTTTAATTGTTGGTTTTTTTCATTAAAAAGAGAGGGAGTCATTTGCCAAACATTCCTTTACATGGATAAAACAGTTTCCCGTTTAAGGGGAAATGTTATTCATTTCCACACAGCACGTTATTATCGACCTCCCACCACTACTCGTTTGTTTTCTTTAATGTGTTCCATATTCCATTCTGTTTCTCTTTTGTGCGCCCAAAACAACCAATCACATGCATGCTCACTGCCGCACCAATAACAAAAGGGAGTTGTACGTGCTCTCTCTCTCTCTCCAAACAATCGGTAAGCGCACACACACAGAGAGCAAGAGAGCTGTTTAAATGGTCGATTTTAATTAAATATGTTTGTTATTTATTGGGGATTTTTATGGGAAATAATTGTAAAAATATATAATTTAAATATTATATTTTATATTTTTAATAATTTTTTATTAAAATTTTCACGATTTTCTTTAATTTCTTTCAATTTAAATTACCCCTTTTCTAGTTTCTGTACATCAATGGTGTCTTCTGTTATGTTATACTCTCCCTCTCTCTCACTCTGGCCTTTGACTGTGAGAGCTCTCCGTTTGGTTAGTGTGCTGTCTCTGTTGTTCGTTTTGTTTTCGTTTGGTCTGCCGTTAACCCACCAGTTGATGTGTGCGTGGGTTGTGCTTGGGCTTGCACTTGTTATTGTTGTTGTTGCTGCTTATGTTAGCCGAGACTGTGCGTGTGTGTGTTGTTGCTGTTATTTACCGAAGGTGGTTGTGGCTTAGGTGGTGCTTTCGTTGTTGTTTTTGTTTTCTGTGTTTGTTGTGTGTGTGTGTTAATGCGCCAGGCAAAAACCATGGCAAATCATCACCGTGTTACATTATTGTTGTTATTGTTATTGCTCTGGTTTTGTGTTGATGGTGTTGTTGTTGTTGCTGCTGTATTGCAGAGCCCACAGCGCATATCTCTGTGGATTTAATTCACTGTGCTTGCGATGGGTTGGGTGTTGTTGTAGTTTTTTTTATTGTTGTTGTTGCTGCTGCTGTTTAGGTGAATTGCGGTCGTTGATTATTTAAACTAGAGAGGGGCCAGTTTAATGATGGATAGGTGGGGCATAACACACACACGCACACATACATAAATTGGCATACAAATTTATGAATGTGTTTTGTTGTTATTTAAAGTTTTCGTTTTCCTATTGGGAATGTAAAGAGAGGGGTTAGGGGCACATGTTAAGGGACTGGGTATCAATGATATTAACCTGGGACCAGTGACAAAAAAACAAGTTTAAATAATTATGATATATCCCAATGATAATTGTGGGCCATGCAGACGTCCAATTGGAACCAATATTTCAATTCCATTTCGTTCCCATATGTCCTGTGTATGTTTGGTTTGATTGCTTTGTTGTGTAAGTGCCATGAGCATGAGGTGTAATGGCAATAGCATGGCTGGGCTATACCCTTGCTAGCCTTGTCTCTTAGCACACGCACATTCAGACAAACACACACACAATCATACTTACACAATGAAGAGGCGTTGGCAATGCCTTTTGTGCCATTCAGCCAACCAACCAACCATCCACCACTGGTGTTGTTCCTTGTGTTCTATTACGACTTGTTGTTGTTGTTGTTCGGCATTGCTATTTTTGGGTTGTGTGGTGCGTTGCGTTGCGCTCTTGCTCTTCATCGTGTATCAGCCAGCCTGCCTGCCATTCATTCTTACTTATGGGCACACACAGTTTGTAGTGCGCTGCTGCTAGTGACTGAACGAGCAAGCAAACCAAACCAAACGAACAAAACGAAGCCAGGACGGCATCGCAACATAAGATTGTCGTCGTTTCATAACATCACATTGCGGATTCAGTTGGGGTTTAACTGCCACTCGGGACGGTAGATCGCGCTTACAATTGTTTTGTGACCAGAGTAGAAAAAAAAATTTTACAGTAAACCACTGTGTATGTGTGTATTAGTGTGTCATTCTCCCATATATAAATATCTATGTGTGTGTTTGATTGTTACATTGAATGTGTGAAAAAGTAGTTGATTTGAAAAAATTATCCAAATTCTCAAAGGGGCATTGATCCGAAAAAACAACAACATCAGCCAGTCAGTCAGCCATTGACGGCTCATTATCACCCACAAAAAATCCGGCAATTCTCCAAAGGCCAAGTGTCAATACAAAATAATAAAAATTTTGTTACGATTTTTTTTCTGGATTGTGCCGCTCCGACAAAAATAAACTAAAAGTGAAACTTTACAATAAAAACCAACAATAACAATAATAATTGAAAATTAAAAAAAATCGAAAACCAATTTTGCAGTTTTTAGTGTTTGTGTCTGTGTGTGTGTTAAATACTAATCCATCATCATTATGCGTTCCGATGAACCTGTGCCGGGTTTCAGCTCGGCTTCCCCATGGCCCACATTGGATTTGGAATGGGGCCGTAAATTATATCCCACAGCGGCACCACGCACCGCCAGCGGTCTCATGTTCGGTCTGCCACCAACGGCAGCCGATTTAAATCAGCCGCGTGGCCCCATGACTTCGCTGAAGGAGGAACCGTTGGGCGCCAGGGCCTGGATGCAACCTGTCGTCGATCAGAGCAAGTAAGTAGCAATTTTGAAGGAATGAAAAATGTTAAGAAAATTTGAAATTGGTAAATTCTAATAGAATAAAAGAAGAGGAAAAAATCGTCCCAAAAATTTCCAAATGGGGAAAAATATAAGGCAATAATGAACAATAATAATAATGAGCAATAATGAATGAATAAAACTTGAAATCCTGTTGAAAATTCGTCGCTTTGAATTTTTTAACTAAATTTCCCAAATTGTAAATGAGAAAAAAATACCAAATGTGGGAAAATATTTAAAAATTGTTTTAAAGGGTAATAATTCGAGGGTAAAATGACATGAGAGACTAAAATGTTTAAAAGGTTTTGAAAATGATCGAAACCCAACATTTTATGCAATTTTTGGGCAACTTTTTAAAAATTTCCAAAAAATCCCCAAAAGTGGGGAAAGTATAGGAACACAATAAAATTTCTCATAATTTTTGTATTTTTTTGTCTGGTTTTTATCAAAATAAAAAATGTTAAAAAAAGATATTATTTAAAATGTAAAAAATAGGAAAAAAATTAAAATTCTTGAAAACCCTCAAAAAATGGGGAAACGTAAATTAACATATTTTAATTATAAAATTGTTACTTTTATCTTTAAAAATACATTATTACTACATAAAATGTAAAATAATTGAAAAAAAAAATCCAAAAATGATTTTTTTAAAATACTCAAAAAACCTAAATTGGAAAAAATTGAAGGAATATATTTTTTCATTTATTTTTAATATTTTTTAATCGCTTACAAAATTCAGGTGTATGAAATAAAGAATAAAATTTAATAATAATTTTTAAAAATACCTCCTTATCTCGAAAAATTTAAAAAGAAATATTTTTTTCCAGAAAATATTTTTTTTTTATTATTTTCAATATTTTCAAATCACTTTATTTCTTATGTCGATATAAATAAAATTTGAAGGAATATATTTTTTTTTCATTTATTTTAATATTTACAAAATTCACATATAAGAAATAATGAATAAAATTTACAAAATATTTTTAAAAAAATACCTCCTTATCCCAAAGTTGGAAAAATTAAAAAAAAATATATTTTTTTATTAATTTCAATATTTTCAAATTACTTTAGAAATCTTAAATAAAACAAAAAAATAATAAAAAATGTTTTTCCATTATCTCAAAATTTCAAAAAAAAATATTTTAAAAAATTTATACCAATAATCATTAAAAAAATTTAAAATTGGCAAAAGTAAAACATATTTTAGTAAATTATTTCAATATTATTACATCACTTAAAAAATCTGAAATCTGTAAAAAAAAACATTAAAATTTAAAATTTATTTCAATATTATTACATTACTTAAAAAATCTGAAATCTTAAAAAACATCAAATATTTAAAAAAAAATCAAAAATAACTTTCCAAAAAAATTTTAAAAATAATTAATAAATACCAAACACGCTAAAATAATTTTTAAAAAAATTAATATGAAAAATAACCTGTTTTAAAATAAAATATGAAAAAACGGACCTGATGAACTACGAAGTTTAACATTTATTTTTTTAATAACGCTTTGGCTATTTATTTTAAGATTTTTTTGGAGAGTATGAATTGGATTTTTTTTAATATTTAATGTTTTTTTAAGATTTTTTAAATAATGTAATAATATTGAAAATAATCGCCCCAGTTAAACACATTCACATATACTTCAATTTTCCCCCCACTAATAATTTTCAATTTTTAAGACGCCTTTCCGGAACAACTCCACATAATAAATTCCATATCAAAACTCAATTTTCCATTTTTTTTTTTGCAATATCTTTTATAAAAAGAAAATATTTTACCGACGCCAGGTCGCTACAGTCAAACATTTTATTTCTATGTTAAATACCTGCTTCATAATGTTAAAAAAATATTTAAAAAATGTCTTATTTTTTTGATTTATTCAAAGTTTTTAATTTAATTTTTTTACATACATAAAATTTATTTTTATTATTTAATTATTGGATCTTTCAATGAGTATTTTATCCGTTTATTTAGTTTAATTTTGCCTGTAAGGCCGATGATCATTTGAATGAGTTTTAAAGTGCGTTTTTATACTCTTTCGAGTCAAGCTTAATGATTGAAGTTTTGCAATGAATAGCAAAATGTGGCTATCTTAAATAATTTTTTTTAGTTTATTTATTATTTTTATAAATTTGTTTTAATTTGTATGTTATGCATTTTTATTACATTTTTTTATTTTACTTATTATTTATTTTATTGTATATTAATATTTATTTTTTAATTAAGTAATTATTTTTCAAGTTCATTTCTCTTATTATTTATTCGTTTTATTTAATTTATTTTCATTTTAAATATTTTCCATGAAATTACATTACGTTTTAGCCTTTTTGTTTATTTAATTAAATATTAGTATTTATTTATTTTTTATATTTATATATTATTTATTTTTTTTATTTATTATTTTTTAATTTATTTTTCTTATTATTTATTCATTTTATTTTATTTATTTCAATTTTAAATCATTTTTTCCATTGTAATATCGAATAAAACACTGTTTTACGTTACGTTACGGAATAACTAGGATTTTTTTCTCACAAGCACCCACTACATCACATAACTCTTCATTCCCCATAATTATAACTCATTAAATTCAATAACAAAGAGATCATCATCTCTCAACACTTCGCATCATTATATTGATGATAAAGATGTCTTCACAGATGACAACAATAACAACAACACCAACCAACTCATCAATATTCATACATTTACATGTGATTAACCAAAAAAAAAAGAAAACACGTGACTCTCCTCTCTGACACTTTTAACCCCCTACAACAAAAATAATAACAAAGAACAACAATAATAACTTCAAGTAAGCCCAAGCAAGGGAGTTAATATAAACATGATTAAACGAGTCTTCCCCAAAAAAACGAAAAGAAAACAATTGCGAGGCACACACACACGAACCAATGTAATGCGGCCGGCCATCTCTCATAAACTTTCTCAGAGATTTAGGCAGTCGTTGTGATAAACAGTTGTTGGTGTTATTGTTTTACTTTGTTGACATGATTAAACGAGGCTCCCACACAAAAAGAAAACAATACGAGCCACGAACACACACACACACACGAACCAATGCAAATTTTGCCTAATAGACTTTCTCAGAGATTTAGGGAGTCGTTGTGATAAACAGGTGTTGGTGTTGTTCTTGTTGTTGTGATAAACAGTTGGTGTTGTTCTTGCATTACTTTGTTGGCATGATTAAACGAGGCTCCCACAAAAAGAAAACAATACGAGCCAAACACACACACACACACACACGAACCAATGCAAATGTGCCTAATCGTGGGGGCCATAGACTTTCTCAGAGATTTAGGGAGCCGTTGTGATAAACAGCTGTTGGTGTTGTTGTTGTTTTTGTTTTTCTTTGTTGTGATGATGTTTCTCCACGGTGATTTCTATCGGTAAAGTCAATTGTTTTCGGTTTTGCCCTTAGGAGAACACAAGAGAGGGGGTGAGAGTTATAGAGTGTTAGGTGTGTGTGTTTTGCAAAGCAAACAGTATTACGAATTGCCTAAGGAAATTTTGTTTTCGTCACAAAAACAGCAACAACAAAAATACCAAAGGGAAAAATTATGATATTTTTGTTTATGGTAGGCTTAGGCTCTCTGAGTGTTAATTTGAGTAGAATTCTAAGAGTAACTCAAAATATCTCTCAAATGAAATGAAATAGAAATGTAACAATTGTGGTGTGTGTATGGACAAAGAAAAAGGTTGTTTACTTTTTTCTAGTGGTACTTTTTGGACATGATTAACTTTGTCTTTGTGTCTTGTATTTGCTTATTTTTTTTGCCGCAACCACCACTAAACAAACATGGCCCACAGACTCAATGGGAAAAAAGGAAATAAAGAAAGCTTCTTTCAAAGCATCCCCCAAACAAAATAAAGTGCGTAATGGTTTTCCTTTTGGCGGCATTGTCTCACAGTCGAGAGGATAAACATTCCGTTTTTTGTGGGGAGCTACATTTATTTGGGGGTTAGTCTTCAAAAAGGGACCGTTCTCTGTGTGTGTGAGTGTGTGTGCCAAAGCAAAGGGGGTTGATTTCAAGTTCATTGAATGAATGAATGTTTTAGCGTTTCGTATTTTTTTGTGGATTCCAAAAGCTTCTTTAAGCATCTTCTGTTACAAAAAAAATTATGAATTTAGTAGAACTAGAGATGTTTAAGCAGTGAGATGTTTAGTGTAAAAAACGCTACAAAATTACAACAAACAATAACAAATATTAAAGAAAATCGCAACAAAAACAACAATAACATTAAACAGCAATACGTAAAAATGACCGCGGGTTTTATGCAAACAATGTCAACGTCGACGAACAATAGTGGCGCCCAACATAATACAGGCATGAGGACAGCAACCACATCGAATTCGAATCGCCTAATTGCGGATAGTTTAAATGAAAAAATATTAAGGTGAATTTGAAAAAAAAAACAAAAACAACGGATTTAAGCGAAAAATAGCAGAACAAAGGAAACAAATAATAAACAAGAAAACAATAATAAAAAAAAGAAAAAAATATGAAAAAATGTTGACAAAAAGTGTAGCAAAAAAATCTTTTGCAAAACAAAACGAATGAAAACTTTTAGCATGTCCTTGTTCCGCTTCCGTTTCCGTTTTATAGATGACATAGCCAAGATGACAATACCGATGGTGATGATGAATACCTGCAATCGTTAAATGACCATTACAGGACAAGCTTTATTTTGTTTTTTTTGTTTATTCTTGTTCTTGTTTTTTGTTGTATCTGTCCTGTTGATATTTTATTTAAAACCTATGAGTGTAGCCCTCCACCATTATCATGTAAATGTCATCATCCATTGTCATGGACTGTTTTCATGTTTTTACAGCTACAGTTTTTTTTTTGTGTTACTTTCTTTTGTTGTCTTATTTCTCTTGTTCATTTCCAAATGATATTGTTCGTCCACCAGCCTAGCAAAGTGAAATAATTGGCTTTTCATAAACGCC